AACCTCCTGCTGCTCCTGCTGCTGCTCCTGCTGCTCCTGCTGCTGGCGCTGCTGTCCTGTTTCTGCGCTGCGCTGCGCTGCAGCCGTTGCCGCTTACCTCGGGTGCGCTTCCCGCGCCAAACACGCAACACGCAACAACAGCAGCCGCACCCCACCTACTCCAGCAGCAGCAGCAGCAGCAGCAGCAGCAGGACGTACCACCTGTAGACGATGCGCTCGGCCTGGAGCGCGTCCTCGTCGAGCTGCTTCTGCATCTGCTTCTCGATTTCAATTTGCTCGATTTCGTCCGGAGACATGTGGAGCTTGGCCTCGCGTTCCTTGTCTCTGCGTTTCAAAAAGTTGAGGAGCTTTTTGATTCCCAGCAGCGGCTGAATTGCTGCGAAGGTTTCCCACGAGTTGTGCACATGCGCCAGCCCCAACCACTTGATTAAATACTCTTCTTCTCCATCTTCTCGAGTTCGGAAGTCCAGGACTCGGTCCACGACTTTGCCTCCGACGGCGCCTGCTTCCTCGCCGCCCGCGCCGCGCGCCGCGCCGTACCTGCTGCTGCTGCTGCTGCTGCTGCTGCTGCTGCTGCTGCTGCTGTCCGTGTCCTCCTCGCCCTCCTCCAGCTCCTCCGCGTCGCACGCCAGGTTCACGTAGTCCACGCGGCTGCTCCGCGCCCGCAGGCTGAACCCGCTGCGCTCGCCTGCTGCTGCGGAGGAGGCGGACGCTCCTGCTGCTGCTGCTGCTGCTGCTGCGCTGCTCCCGCTGCTGCTCCGCGGCAGGTGCGACGCGTAGTACGCCTCGCGCGCCTGCACACGCGGACGCCGCCGCCGGCTGCTGCTGCTGCTGCTCACTGACCCCCCGCTGCCCACCCACCCTCCTGCCGCAGCAGCAGCCGCTGCTGCTGCTGCTGCTGCTGCGCCCCCTCCCCCGCGCTTCCCCGCACCCGACGGGTCCCACGGCTCGTCCCCCTCCTCCTCCGCCTTCGTTCCTCCTGCTGCTCCTCCTGCTGCTCCTGCTGCTCCTCCTGCTGCTGCGCCGCTGCCGCCACCCGCCGCTGCTGCTGCTGCTCCTGCTGCTTGGCGGGAGGCGTCCCCAGGAGCTACGCCAGCAGCGGCTGCGGCCGCAGCGGCTGCTGCAGCAGCTGCTGCTGCAGACGAACCCTGGTCCGCGAACCCACTCTGCTGCTGCTGGGACTGCTGCTGCTGCTGCTGCAAAAGCTGCTGCTGCTGACGCTGCAACATCTGCTGCTGCTGCAGCTGCTGCAGATACTGCTGCTGCTGCTGCTGCTGCTGCAAAAACGGATTCTGCTGCTGCTGAGCTGCCAGCAAAGGGTTCTGCTGCTGCAACTGACGCTGCAACAACAACTGCTGCAGCTGCTGCTGCTGAAGCTGTTGACGAATCTGCTGCTGCCGCATAAACTGCTGATGGATCAGCTGCTGCTGCTGTGGATTTCCGCTCGCCGCAGCAAGGTGCTGCTGCAACAGCTGCTGCTGCTGCTGCAACTGCTGCTGATGCAACTGCTGCTGTAACTGAAGCTGCTGCTGCAGCTGGTGCTGCAACAGCTGAGGCGGCACCGCCGCATCGCCTGCCGACTGGCCTTGCTGCTGCAGCTGCAGCTGCTGCTGCTGGAGATGCTGCTGCTGCAGCTGCTGCTGCCGCAGCTGCTGCAGATGTTGCTGCTGTAAATGCTGCTGCTGCAAATGCTGCAGTTGCAGCTGCTGCAACTGCTGCTGCTGAAGCGGCTGCTGCTGCAATTGCTGCTGTAGCTGCTGCTGCTGCAACATTGGCTGCAGGTGATGCTGATGCAGTTGCTGCAATTGTTGCTGCTGGAAATGCTGCTGCTGCAGCTGCTCCTGTTGCCGCAACAACTGCTGCTGCATGTCTGGCTGCTGCAAGTGCTGCAGCTGCTGCTGTTTCAATTGCTGCTGTTGCAGCTGCTTCTGCTGCAGCTGCTGCTGCTGCAATTGCTGCTGCTGCAGCTGCTGTTGCTGCAGCTGCTGCTGCTGCAACTGCTGCTGCTGAAGCTGCTGCTGCTGAAGCTGCTGCTGCTGAAGCTGCTGCTGCTGAAGCTGCTGCTGCTGCAACTGCTGCTGCTGCAACTGCTGCTGCTGCAACTGCTGCTGCTGCAACTGCTGCTGCTGCAGCTGCTGCTGCTGAAGGGGCTGCTGCGTCATCTGCTGCAGTTGGGCATGCTGCGCCAGCTGCTTGTGCATCTGCTGCTGCTGGAGCTGCTGCTGCTGCTGTTGAAGCTGCTGCTGTTGTTGCTGCAGACAACCCTCGTACACGTAGCCTAGAGAGGCGCCCAGCTGCTGCTGCTGCTGCTGCTGCTGCTGCAGCGGGCTGGCTGCTACACCCTGCCCCACAGAGATGCCGCGTCCCTCCGAGGCCATCGCTGGATCGCCCCCTGCTACCACAGGAGCAGCAGCATTTGCTGCCGCTGCTGCTGCTGCTGCTGCTCCGTCTGCAAACCCAAACAGCTGCAGTGCAGCATCATCCTCAGCAGAACCGGGGCCGCACTCGTCCCCTCCTGCTTCAACTTGCCCCATCCTGCAGCAGCAGCAGCAGCACGAGCTCTGTGCAGCAGCAAATGCGGCAGCAGCAGCGCAAGAAGCTGGCAGCAGCGGCAGCAGCAACAAACGGTCACCTGCTTTGAGGACAAAGCTGCTGCTGCTGCAGCCGCTGCTTCTGCTGCACTTCTGGCAGGACCCGGTCGCGCAGAGTCAGCGGACAGTCATGTGTTGCTGCTGGTCCTGATGCTGCTGTTGCTGCTGCTGCTGCTGCTGCTGCAAGGCCGTTGTAGCTGATGCGGCAGCAAACAAAGTACCCCAAGCACGCAGGGGCACCAATCAGCCTAAGACCCTAAGACGTCCGCAGTGAGCTTCCAGGCGCCATGTCCAGTCATGCTATTGCTTCTGCTGCTGCTGCTGCAGCTGCTGCGCCGCTGCTGCTGCTGTCGCCCGCCGCTACTCTTGCTGCTGCTGCTCGTAGTGGTGCTGCAAGCAATTCTAAAAACGGATTCAGCGCTGCCTGCAGACAAGCAGCAGCAGTAGCGCGCCCGTCGTACGGATGCGAGGGGACGGCCCCAGAAGGCTGCTGCTGCTGCTCCTGCTGCTGCTGTTGCTGCTCTCCGCTGCTGCAGTAACGATACGGCGGAAGCGGAGATGATGAAGAATCCGTAACAGCCGTGTTGGGGAGGACGGAGAAAGAACAGCAAACGCGCCTTATCCGATGCCGGCGTGGTTGCTGCAGCAGCTGCTGCTGCTGCTGCTGTCACGCTGCAGCAGCAACCCCTCTCTCGCCTGTCTCCCCTAGAAAGCGGCTCCGCAATGCTGCAGCAACGCTGCTGGCTGAGAGACGGGGAGGTGAGGGCAAGCCAACAGCAGCACGGCACAACTGCAGCAGGAGGACACGGCAGCCGCTGCTGCTGCTGCTGCGGCTGCTGCTGCTACTGCTGCTGCTGACGCCTGCTGCAGCTGAGTTGCCGTACTTGTACTTCACCTAGAAACAGCCAAGGCTGCGATATTGCAGAGCCTCCCTTTCTATTACGCTGAACTTCCCCCCGCACGCTTCGTGCCGACGCACGTGCTGCTGCTGCTGCAGGGCGTCTGAGTTGCTGCTGTGTGGCCAGCTGCTGCTGCTGCTGCTGCTTCTACAGCTCTTGCTGCTGCTGCAGCAGGGGGGCTTTCTCCGCACGACCGCTAAAAGTTAACGCAAAAAACGTTTTAATTTTTCCTCGAGCGTTTGTTATTGTCTCATTGCAGCCCCAGGCAGCAGAAACAAACCCACCCGACCTACAGGACACGCAGCCTTCCCCCCGCCCTCTACTCAGTCGCCTGCGTCGGCCTCACTAAGGTCCACTGGCTCTCCCAAGCCCTCCTAAATCTTCAACTTTCGAGCGCCTTTAATTCGCTTCCTGCCTCCCTCCATGTCTAACAGAACCTATTCCGCAAACCACCACGCGCGACTCCGCCCTAGCCCGCAGCACTGCAGCAGCCCGCACGAGGGCCAGCCTCTGCTTTGCTGCCGACTCCAGAGGGGCCCCTGCGCTCTTCCGCTTCCTCGTGGCCCCTCTTCGGGCCTCGGGGGGCCCCCAGTGCCGGGGGCGCGGCCGCCCCGCTGCTGCCCCGCCACCCCGCAGCAGCAGCGGCAGCCTGCTGAACCCTCACCAGCAGCAGCAAACCGCGTACCCGCTGCGAGCTGCAGCAACCCTGTCTGCAGCGTAGCCCCTCTGGGCGCGGGCGGAAGCCAAAAGGGGCAACTCCAATTTGGGAAGCCCTGGGCTTTCGCGGTCACTCCGGACAAAGAAAAAGTTGCAGCTGCTGCTCATGCATGCGCTGCGGGCTGCCTCACTCACACGTTTAGGATTAGAAATGTCCTCCCCTTAAATTGGGGAAGTGGCTTCCAGTGCTGCTGCTGCTCTGCTGTTGCTGCTGAAAGCCAGACACGCTCGCTGCTGGGGGGGAAGCCTCGCCCCAGTAGTTTTGCGCGGGCTGCCAAAACACGCCCACAGTCTGTGCTGCTCTAGTTTAGCATAAAATAATAAAGGCCCTTTTGGCCAGTGGCTGGGACGAGTTTCCCCGAAGCTACGCAGCTTCACCCGCAGGGCTTGGAGCCCTGGAAAGCCGTTGCAGCCAAGGGCCAACGAGTTACTCTAGCTGCATAGCTACTGCCAAGTATTCTATAGTCGTGCGTAGTGCGCTTCAGTGCTTTACCTCTCTAGGGCATTAAAAAGTAAAGTACCTGTCCATTCGCATTCTCTCTTGGAGGGGCAAGACACAGGTAAACGGAATGAGACCTGTTGGAACGAACAGGTCTCCTTTAGGCCAAAAAATTCGCTTGTTCTGAAGTGGGCAGTTAGCCAAACACTGCTTTCATAACCTAGTACATACGCAAGTGCAGCCTTCGGCCAAACAGCATTTAGTTTGGACAGTGGTGGTGTCTAGTGGCAGGGCACATGGAACAACAGCGCTCAAGGCCCCTGCGTTTCGGCCTTAGACAAATGTGTTCAACCTTCACATGCGAAGGTAAGAACTGCGAATTTAAGTGTATAATGTGCTGTAACTGCTGCTGTGCGAAGCAGCGGATCCCCCAAACTTCCGTGTCATATTCATAAAGCAGATGCCGCTAACGAGGACGGCACCCAATGCTTCTGTTGTAGGCTGGATACAATATTGGAATATTTGGGGCAGCAGCGTATGAAAAATTATATTTACATTCAGAGATACTAACAAGGATGCAGTGAGGGGTAGTGCGGGACCGTGATCTGGGGCTTGGCGTTAGGAGTAACAAAAGGGAACACTGGCTAATTCAGAGAGGCAGCAACAAACAGGTTAGGTGAGGACATGGTTTATTTTTAATGCAGTGCCTTCAACAGCAAGCTTGCGAAGGTTGCCACAGTGTGTCCCAGCTCTGGCACATGCATGACACACCGATTTACATACTGCACCATTTGCAGAACCAGTCTAAACCGGCATCAACTAAACACTTCGCACAGAGCTTGAGACTTACCGGCTCCCTCAACCTGCAACAGCTGTGCTACTCGGAAGCCGTGCGAAACTTCAGCCACCATCCTTCGCCGTGTCAGAGAGCGACGTGGAACATTCTCATGGATGCCCGAGCATGGTAGCTATCTGCGTGTTGTGCATCTGCTACGCGGGCGCTGTAAACACTAGTGGAGCGTCTGAGTAAAGCCAGTAAAAAGAAATTTTTCCACTTGCATTTTTCCACGTTCCAATAATGGAAACGTAGGACTGCGCCCCACTCATTGTGCTGATTGAGAGGACTGCTCCGTGCAAGTTGCCTTTCAAGCTCAGCACCTAAAGCGCCTTTTTATGTATACTGCCTCTAATCACCTAGATATTGCTTGCGTAGGCCGCGAGCCCATCGGACCCTTCCCTAATCGCCATCTGTCGACCCCCCGAACCCCCGCTTGGCGGCTCACCGTCCGCACTAACTGGCCGCGATCCGGTTGCACGGACTACGGAGCTTCGAGCCAAGGGAATACTTCCTTACCTTCTACTCTGGAGTCTTTAGCATTATTGGCGTAGTGCACTCGAGCGTAGTAATAATTCCTTGCCTTCTACTTTGGAGTCTGGAGCCTTTAACACCAGTTGGCATGGCGTTTTTGACTGTGGTTAGCACCGAAGCATCGAGCTGGATCCAGCTTCGCGACGCACGAAGGACGCTCTGCTCTCTATTTTGTCTCGCCTTTCTACACACTGGTTGCCCGACTCTTCCAGGCCCTGAAGCTTCTAAGCCACCAAATGCTGAGGCACAGAATAACAAACCCTTGGGGTCCAAGAGCCGCGGCACCGTCCGCAATCCGTCGCCTGGGTAGTCTAGTTCCACGTTAAACCCCGTTATCATAGTCCTTCGGGATCAAGTAGCCCTTTCTAGGTCATGATATTAGACGAAAATATCTAGCCCCCCAGTATTGCTGTGGCACTTTTGTCTACTCCCAATCTGTCGATGAAGCTGCACAGTCTCGCTCTGGTACGCCTCCGCCAAGCAGCGGGGCATCCTGTTCAAGAAGTGCGTCGGCGGCAGAAGGCCTTTATTTTATCCTATTTTAAGTAGCTGAAGTACGGCTTAAGAACTTCCCGCACCTGATGCAGAGCATTCGTACATACGGTGTTTGTGTAGTGCCAGCACTATACGACCCACCGAGAGAGTTAAAGTGGTGTATAGTTACGACATTAACCGTAATAGTTTTTCACAAAATAGAGTGTTCACCTGTAAGAATATCGGTTTAACTAATTAACGAGGTCGCCCAAAAGGGGGCCAACACAGTACGCGTTCACTGTACAGAGCTAGTGGAATAAAATTTACTCTGTGCCACAATTTTTTCTTAGGTGGCGTTGTCCCCCGGGAAGCTTTCAGCTAGCAGATCACTGATTCGTTACCAAAAGATAGCGCACTTATCTACCAGATTAGGGCTAGAACTCGCTGGCAGTTAATGTAGTCATGCTACAGAGAAAACGTTTGTTCAAAAATCTCTGCGAAATTAGTAAGAATGCCTTGCGATCCTGCCAAGCAGCTGTGCTTCAGTGGTCGTAGCCCAGAATACCCTCCAGCACCCGCGTGTACCTTTCGTTTCATGTATCCATGAGTTTATTTCAAGGGCTTGATTTGCATGATTTCTGCCTTTAGAGAACAGCTGCTGAACGCACCTTTGGACCTTGGGGGTAATTTCTCTCCTTGCCATCCTTGCGCCTTCTTGGCCGGTTTTCTCTTCTCGACGGCGTAGAGCTCATACTGGTGTGCCTAGTAGGTTGTTATGTGCCTTATGCGACAGACAATCTTTCGATATTGCAAGAGCTCGCAAGTGACGGACATTACCACTGTTCTACTGGTCTCCTGGCACGTTTTTCTAGCGGTAATATTTGTTGCCAACCTCTGTTGTCAGTCTGTCTCTTGATCGTTCAGCTTGACCGAAGGCGGCGGTTAGCGAGCTAACCGCCGCCGTGGAAACCTATTCCACCAATTTTCAGCTGATGCTTCTAGCACTAACGTTTAGCGGAGTTATGGCTTTAGTTCCAGCTGAATTATTTGTCGGGTGCATCTTTCCAGGTAGACGTGGTGTCTGAGAGCAGTTGCAAATCTCCCCGTTTTTTAAATAGTTGCTTACTGCCTATGAGTCTTGAGTATCTGACTTGCACATCCGTAAGTCTTCTTCTGGCCTATCTGCTTTGGTTCTTTCCTCCACGCACAAATTTTTGATACGAGAGTCCGTGGTCAGACAAAACAGCATGTACAAAAGTAACGTTTCGTTGAGTTTTTTCCTGCCAGATGTTGTAGGTCCATTCGCCCAGATGAACCACGGCATTGCTTTGGTCAGCTGCCGTAGTAGTTTTGTTTAAGTGCAGATCCTGGCCCCAGACAGTTTCTGTGGGAGTCAAAAGTTTGCTGTTACTGCCTAGCTTGACCTGGCTACGCACTTAGTGGGACATACAGAAGTCTTACTGGCTTTTTCCGCTCGTGGATCCACGTTATCCTCAGCGATTGAGAACTCCAAAGACTCATTGGTTCATGCCATAAAACACTGGAGTTCTAGCTGCCCTCTCCTCAATGTACAGTATTGTTGTGATATTCCGTAAGGTAGGGTTTCTTGACTTTGTTGCCTCTGCAACAGCAGCGTCTGCTGCTCCCTGGAAATTTCTCACTTGTGAGCTCCATTTATGAGCATACTCTTCATTACAAAGTGGCAACACAGGGAAAACCGACTAGTCCCTTCCTTTAGTAAGCGGTAGGACTTAATAACAAACTCTGCTGGAGAATCCTGCTGCACGCTTTGCGAGGTGGCTAATGGCTTGGATGCTTTTGCCGCTGCCAGGACAGGTCCGAGATGCAATATGAATTCGTTGACCAGAGCGAATAATTGAGTCACTATTTACCTATCAAAATCGCCTGCATTCTTAGTTAGCGATGTAGCTCACGATACGCTGTAGACCGCAACAATCACGATTTGGGCCAGCCGCACAGGAAGTCCAAAGCGCGCTTGGGACAACTTCCACATTGATAAAATCAAACCAGTTGGACAATTTGAAAGTAGTTGATCACAATCTCAAGATGCGGATAAGTTTCACAATCATGCAGTGATCAATGAACGCTTATTCGTTCCATCGCAAGAACGCAGGCAGCCGCCCTCCTAGAGGATCAGAATCTGTTAACCAGCTGTTAAATTTCTGCATCTGTACCCTTGCCAAGGGTTTATTACGCGTCTCTTTTTTCTTTTCACACGTTCTTGTATTGTTTTTAGTTCGTGAATTAGTGTAGCATTCTTGGTTAAAAGCCAGTACACCAGAGACTCTCCCTCATAGGTTCACCCACTGATGAATTGATTCTTCACAAAGAACGCTGCTCCAGCGTATGAACTAAAGTCATTACAAGCAGGTGCGAACAGGGGAAACTAATCCATTTAAAACTATTAGTATAGCAATGGATGCAAACTTTATAGAGATGAGTGATGGATTCCAGTGCGTGTGGTGATTTTGTTTCTTCTCTCACCGGGAAACCCTGAAAATTCGTCGATCACATTCTATTCCCTTGGCATGTGTGGAGAAAATACGGTATGTTATCGATCATATTACTGCTTGAAAACGCTTGTGGAGGGAAAAAGAAACTCGGAAATTTAGCGGACAGAGGCTAGTGCATCCTGTGGGCTGAATACTGGTGCCAACATAAGCCGACAACTATCACCCAGAGGTGGCAAAGCTATTAGAGACGCGAAAACCGCATTTTTTGTGCAGTTCACTGCAGAGCCAAACGCCTGCATTGAGTAAGAGCTCAAGCCGTTGTTGGTCTCAAAAGGAGGTTTGCCGATGTCATTTCTGTGCTACGAGTGACTGCATCCACTTGGGCATATAGTTCGTTGGGCTTGACTCAGAATTGAGGAAAATCTGACCGAGCGGCTCTCCTGTGCGATTGCACTCAATATTTTTATTAAAGGAGTACGATGGACTGAAGAGAAAGCGTTTTCTTATTATCTGGGTGGTCATGGATGGTTCCAGAACTGGCTCTCAGCTGTGCATGACAGGCATTGGCCTGTCTTTTCATTTATGCCTGGAAAGCCAGCTGAGCCTTGTAAAGATAATACCAAGTTCTAGACAGCTCCAAGATGAATTCTGTCACTTCTTACCGGTGAATAACAGCTACAGCCAACTCATTTATGGAGGGAGCTGGGCTTTCCCCATGAGCCGTTCTAATCCAAATGAGCGGACAGCTCTTACGGTGTGCCTTTGGCGTGTGCCTTGTAAAAAAGCAAAATGAAATACCAAACTGGAGCAGAGTGTCCGAAGTGAGACTCTTAAACAAATTCCAAAGCGCCGAACATTTTCAGATTTTCTTATCTGCAGCATCTCCAGCGGTTCCCCCACTAGTGGAATTGCAAGTTTGGACCACCGTGTAATGCCGACGAATTAGGTGAATACTGCAATGCGAGCGCTAGCTTATTTGCAGCGCAACGCAGTTTTTATCACCCCAGCGTCGGCTGCGCTTGTTTGGTGTATGAGAATGATCAGGATGTCTTCTTGACCTTTTAAAGCGTCATAACAATCCCCCTGCTTTATTTATTAAGCGAACGCCAATTTTGACAGATTTATGCCAGGATTTGCCTGTTCATAAGCCATAGTGAAAAATTAGTCTGACAGGTGGCACATGGCCTTTGAACCCTTGGGCCATATCTTTCTCCTCTGGCACGCTTTCTCCGCGGAAACGTCGTATAATATAAATAAACCAACAACTTTCGCTGTAGCGTAAAGTATTGGACAGTAACACGCAATAGAAATTTCCGAGCGAGTTCGTGATCGGCGGAAGTCCAGAGAGTACCGCACTGTCAAACCCTGCTGCTGGCCAATACAGTTTAGCTGTTCCGCCTGCCTACAAACACTAGAAGTGAGCTCGCTATGTGCGGCTTTACTTTTTTTTATTGTTATTTAGTTATCGGGGCTACATTCGTTCACTAGTTAGGGCTGCATGCTGCAGCATGTAATGTAAGCGGCTAGTGTTGCTGCGCTGCGTTTCATGCACAGGCTTCATAATCACAGTTTGTTTTGCCTTCAACATTTTGTGACATTTATTTAGAGTGCTTGGGGAGATTGTTTTAGCCATTATTTTTTGTGCAAACCTTCTAATCGCCTCGAGTCCCGTTTTGCATTCTTGTTGCAGGCGATATCCACAATGGCTTACATCCCGTGTATTTTGAGCTTTTTCTTGGTGGCTTTCGCCACTTATAACCCTCAAGCCGTTGCTTCACCGTTGATCCTGCCTTTGGAGCCGGAGGTAACCCCCACTCTGCAAATCTACGCCCAGCGAACGGTACAAGAGGGCCCGGCAGCAGCAGAAGCGGACCAGCAGCAGCAGCAGCAGCAGGAGGAGCAGCAGCAAGAGCAGCTGCAAGAAACATTTGTTTCCCATGAGGCGGTTGTCAGGGAAGAGAACGAGGAGGGAGCTTGCAGCACACCTACGAGTTCTTGAGGGGAAACAGCGGAAAACGGATCATATCTAGACTGGCATTTACTTGTGGCTGGCGGCGTTTTCGGCATCGATGGTCTACAGAGAGTGATTCAGGATTGTTTTCCTTTTTCTTTTTCGGACCCGGCAGTATTTTGGAAATTGACGCTGCCGGCACCAAACATGTTTGTTTCCATGAGTGCATTTGCAAAGCACACATGCGTTCAGTTCGTCGGGCTCTTGATGTTTTGTGGGATTGCAAGAGATAATTGCGGAGGTTAGAAGACAACGGTATACAGCTTGGTATCACTATGATATTTTGGTTTATTGGATTCCATATTTCACAATGGTAAATTGCAGTGCAGTCACTGCCAATGGAGGCACGGGAAAGACGCGCCGCACCCGGAGGGATGCATAAGACTTATGCTCTCCCCTTTATGGTTTTGTTTTTCTGTTTAAATATGTGTTATATACATCTAAATGCACATAATTTCTAAGTGTGCTGTTTTTTTTGGCAACGCCGTGCACGGAATTGGGCCAGTTGACTCTTGCTTCCTCCGTCGCACACAAAAGATGGAAGCGCGAATAGTGTTTCCTCCACCATTCGGGATATTTGCACATCTTTCGACTTCATCTATATCTGCTATTTACGAATTTTTAAGAGCTTCAGTTGGTCGCTGTGTGCCCGACTACCGCGTTGAGTACTGCTCTACAAATGGTACATGTGAACTTCAAGCCAGTGTAGTTGTACCATTCCTGGAAGCTGTTTAGCAGGCCGGATGTTGAGTGCGGTTCAATGTCGACAAAATGGCAGCGCATCAGGCGAACATGCAACTCAGTTGAACATGGACGCAACTCAGTTGAATATAAATGAAAGAAAGAAACAGACCGATGTAGTTTTCGGCGGCTCTGCAGTGAAAAACATTAGCTGCGTTCGCTTCTCCTGGCCGTAGCGGCAGCCGCATGCTATGTAACTGCTAGGTAGTCTATCCACTCCTCTTGGCAGATAGTGGCGCCCATAAAGAGTGGAAGCTACAGCCTGGAGTAAGTTTAACCAGTGAAAGCTCTAATACTCCCCGTTTTAAGTGACTCCCGAGACTCTTGGAAGCAGGCTGTTCGCTCATGAGCACCCCGGTTTTGTCATTTCAAATGGGCGCGACTTACGAGACTCTTGGCAGCAGGCTGTTCGCTCACGGGCGCCCCAGTTTTGTCATTTCAAATGGGCGAAGTGAAAGGATTTAAGGCACGATGTCTGAGGATCTCGTGACAAGAAAACGCGATGCTTAAAGCCGCGTGCGCATATAGCACAGCGCAGTATAGCCAGCGAACGTGGAATCGATATTGATTTGGTGGTCACTGGAGATGGCTTCTATACTTCTCCTCAGCTACATGCTTTCAATGCACTGTCACAGTAAAATCTGGTCAGTAAGGTCTTGGCTTCTTCTTTCCCTTCAGTTTTCTACATGATGCCCAACCTAACCAGCTCCTACTTTGCGCCTTGACACGGTGGAGTTTATGGGCTGGAATCCGGCGCCCAACTCCAAAACTTCGACTTAGATTTGTTTGAAATACGACATTAAGTAAAACTGCTTTAAAAAATGGACAGTGGTGTAAATGGACGGTGAAGAAGATGAGCTGGCCCACAGATCGATTGTACGAACGAAATTTCGTCCTTGTGCAGTGCAGCGTACGGGTTATTTTTGCTCTTCAAGGGGACTGATAGGCATTAATGACTGCAGTGTTGTGTTTCCTGCTTGAATTTGTAATAGTGTTGCTCTCTTGTCCCTCAGATCGCCCACCTGGCCGCACGCCTTGAAAGCGCTTCCAGCACAGTGGGTGCGGTGAAGAGTGTTCCGGTGTTGCTTTCTTTTTCATCTTCCTTTCAAATCTTTCAATATATCTCTGTCATTATTCTTTGCATTTATATCTTTACTACTGCTGAACCTTGACCTAATCATGGCGGGATTTTGGTTCCTGGCTCTCGCCAGCACCCTGTTGTTGCCGAAGGTGTCTTCAAGCTCGGAAGATGATTCTATCGGTAGGTTTCGGAGCTGTATGAAGTATTTCAGGGCCTAATCAACAGCTGGAAACAAGTTCTAAGAAAGCCACACAAGACAATGAGCCTTAATTCCCAGACTTGCCTTACGTTTGTGCTGCGGCTCTCTAGAGGTTGTTGACTGCATGAGTGAGCTCAATAAAGTGCGAGAGAGTGTGGGCCTCCCCAAATTTAGTACATTTAAGGATAGAACCCCAAACTATGGGGACGAAGAAGCGAATGACGACGTGGCCCTCTGCAGCGCCCTTGAAAAAGTACGGTTGTCTTTGGACGTATGATGAGCATTCACAGCATTATATAAGTAGCTATGCATGCATTAAATTTGTATGTTGTAGTACTATGCCGCAAACACCTTAATAGCCTCGAAATGCGCTTACAGACGGCGTAGATGCTGACTTAGAAATGTCGAGGTAAGCGCAGCCGGTAGCCTCTATGTGGCCGAGTCTTGAGCTTCCGGCAGCAACTTCTGCTACTTCTTCTCTACCTTTCTGCAGGGAGGTGATCCCCATGTATCGATGCCAACTCTCGGAGTGAGTCTGGCGGCAATGGTGCAGGAGGGGGAAACGCGGGATTGTGCGGCGGCCGTGCGGTACTGGAAAGATGTGTATTCGCAGTTCGGATCTTCCTTGCCTCCTCCCTACGAGGTAGGAGTTAAACCTTATGACGACTGGCGCACAGTTTCCTTCATGGCGCTCTTCACCACGCAGGATGACCCAGCAGCCACTTGCGTAAATATCAAGTGCCCACCGCGGCCATCCAACGAGGAAGAGCCAACAGGTCCTGGTGTTAGCGGCCCGCCTACAACCATGCGAAATCCCTCGCAAGACGGGGAAGGCAAAAGCAGGGTACAGGCTTCAAGTCCAGCAGCACAAACGAGACGCCTGGCTGCACAGTTCAGAGCTCTTCTGTGCATAATTGATCCGGTTGCCTTGACTCAGGGAAAGGCGCCATTCACGTGAGTTTCTAATGCGCGGGAATTCTGTAAATGCTTGCAGTAGCGGTTGCTGATATGTAGAGTTGTCGGGACCGTTGTTACCACAGATCAAATTTGCCACATTAGCTTGATTACCAGGAGTGGTACTTTGGTGCATGCAGTGGCTGCCAGCAACTAATGTTTGCCACTGTTGTTGTTCTTTGCGGTTGATTTACAGGGAGAGCCAGTGGGCCAAGATACGTCAAGTGCTACAGAGCTCATCACCAGTGGTTTCGCCAACATTTATTACCTTGGCAGCTGCTTTGCTTGGTATATCGCTGATATAGTTTGAAAACTTAGCCATTGATCAGGGCCTTACAATGTGAAGACTGAACTGATGTGGCGGGGGTTTTAGTTTGATTTGCGAAACAGCTCAATGCGCTTGTTGAAATCTGTCTTGGGGAGGACGCCAGGCCTTCCCTGATGGCATTGTCTGGTTATTTTTACCTAGCGCATCGGAATGGGTTGATTTTGTTGAATGAGGTGATGTCGTTGAGTGGGATGGTTAGCATGAAGTAGCATAAGTGCTCGTGTTGACAACTGCATTCCTAAAGCATGTCACTGTTGAGTATTCACCACTGGGTGACGTGACAGCCTTGGCTTCGCGAGTGCTTTTGCTAAGCACGTTACATCTTTCGCGAGGCCTTCTTAGCACAGATGATGCCTACGCATACCGCATTTATTACACAACACACGGGAGAACTGGAAGCTGATCTTGGGTCTGGACGGACAAAGCACACGGCCAAGCAAAATTTGCACCAGAAGGACACCAAGTATAATGGCAGAGGGATACTCTTCAGCAAAAAGTGCAAAACAGCTGCTGAGATGTGTCGTACTGCGTTATTACACCCTACTATATGCGGCGTTCAGCTTGCTATGAACAGTAGGATACCAGATTTACTAGACCGTGTTTCCGGTGCAGACAGGTATTCTCGGCGCCAGTCATTCGTGTTTTGCGTAATGCAACAAAGGCGTGGAGGGCTTTACACTTTGTACAGTCGAAAGCATTCAACAGCTTATTCTCTTCAGGGTGGGAAAGGCCGAGAGACGATTCAGTGCTTCCTCTTATCCTTCCCGGACTTTGTCTTCATTGTCTTTTGCTGACATTTTTATATCAAGAGGCACGCGGTGGAACGGCATATTTCAGTTCCCTTGCTCCTGTAAGCAACCTTCCGTCATACTGTGAAGAGTTGAGCACACCAGATCGGTAGTGGTACTTACTTTTGGGTAGCGCGCGAGGCATTCAGTCTTATCCATCCCCGTATCAGTAAGCGAGTCGCTGTAGAGCCTGCAAAGAGTAGGGTTCTGAACTCGCGATTTGGAGATTCTCAGATTAGTGTGGAAGTAATATAACCCAGCGCACAGAATGGTGAGGAGTCCCGCGGCCCAAGTGCCCTTCGCCTTCTAGACTGCTCCTAGTATTCTGTAATGCAATCCATGCAATGCGGGCTAGCAGTAACATGCGTCACATGTTCCATTCCCAGCAAACACCGGATGATGCTGACTGCAGCGTCTCCAATTCTAGATCCCTTCGGCACCCGTTGGTGCGAACGGCCCGTTCTCATGAATGAATTAAGTACTAGTGACGCTGATCTGAGCTGTACTGGAAGTGGTGTGCTCACAAATAGCATGGACTGCCGCATCTAAAAGCAAAGCACTGAACAGTGCACGCTTACGCCAAAATTCAATTTCTTTTGCAGAAGAAACCAACTGCATGGCCCTCTCGGCTAGAAGGCCGTAATAACGCCCCTAAGCTACTACTTCACACTAATGAAATGCAACGTTACAGAAAATTGAGAGGTCGGGCGAGGGCAGTGGGCCAGCCTTGCCTCGCTCTACTCACTGGGTCATAGACCGTAATAGCTCGCGGCCTAATTGATCTACTTGGTGTAGGATGGACCCTTCTCCAAACAGCCAGCTAAAGAGAGGGTCCTCTCCAGCACCTTCTTAACAGCGTGCTCCAGCTTCCGCGTGGGAACAGCTGCCCTGGACGGA